ACATGGCTCCCGCTCATGGCCACCCAGCTGGTCTGGGGAAGTCAGAGGTCCAGGCGACAGGACGCAGGTGATCCAGGGCCTATAAGTGGTACGTGGAGCCACCTGAGGAGAGATGTCGCAGGTGGTGGGCCATAAGCACTGCAGGTTTTAAACACGACACCTATCTCCATGTCTATACGGAATGCATTAGAGCATGTCCACGGCTGGGGATGTGGATTTGCGGGCTCAGCATCATGCTTTGGGCTTGCAAGACAGCATCTACTTCAGTCAGGGGCTTGCAGCTGGGCTCAGGGTGGGATGTGATTTTGCCTTGGCACAGCAGACGGGGCAGGCGCTAGGGGCAGCTCATGCCCTGCTTTTGCCAGGGCTGGCACCCCAAGAGTGCACACCAGGCATAGTTGTTATCCACCTAGCAGGGGAAAGACCTGGGGATGTGCTCTGGGCTTGAGCTAATTTGGAAGGCTGAACTTTATAAAGAGGACGGAGTGCAGCTCTCTGATCTAGGTGTTGCTTTGGTCCTGAAGGGTCTCGGTATGGGGCTGGCCAAACTCCTACATAGCCCATGCAGGGTGGGTTGGAGGCAGCTGGGCTGATGTTGACCCATCCTTGTGGCAGATGCCTAGAGCAGGATCTCACTGATTTAGGCTCCAGACCCAAAAAAGGTAACATAGCAGGCTTCCCTTTAAGAGATGGGGCATCATGTCTAACCTCGCTGGAGGCAAATGGGGCAGGACACTACCCCAGAGGTAGAGCCCTACATGGATACAAAATTGATATTGTGTGCAAGTGGCTTCCATGCTCCCAGATGGGAGATGCAGAGTGCTTCATGGAAGGGACTCCTGTCTGAGAGCGTGTGAGCTCCTTGCACACGGTAGTACAACCATGGACAGCTGCTGGTGAGCCTGGGGCCCACCCCAGTGGGCGGGGCTGGGGGTAGTACCACTTCCTCCAAAAACAATGGAAATTCACTGCCCCAAAACTTTGTTATTGCAGTTAAGTGCTAGCAGCAGGGCCGCCGTGTCCTTCCAGAATAGCAAGTGTACCTCGATTCCTAGGCTTAATATAGGGGTATCTGGGGTCAAGTTTAATAGCCTGTGAGGTGCATGATCATATAGTCCCTTCTGGCCTTAAACTCTATGACCCAGACCCTCAGAGGCTGAAATCAATGGAAATTAGCAGTCTAAATACCGGTCGAGGGTCTGGGCCTGTAAAACCACGCAGTTCAGGACAGGCAGAGCTATGGTAAAATGCACTGAAGGCTAGGAAATGCACAGCTAAGAAGTCTGCTGGCCCTGCCCCATAGCCTGAACTCTGCCCTCTTTGAATGGTATCCCAGCCTGCCCCTGACAGACATCACAGCCCTCTACCCTGCCAGGTGACATGGGAATCATAGAATATCAGGGTTGGAAGGGATCTCAGGAGGTCATCTAGTCCAACCCCCTGCTCAAAGCAGGACCAATCCCCAATTTTTGCCCCAAATGGCCCCCTCAAGGATTGAACTGACAACCCTGGGTTTAGCAGGCCAATGCTCAAACCACTGAGCTATCCCTCCCACCCAAGCTGGGGGGGGAGACACAGCACATGGGATGTGACACTGGGTGGTCCCGAGAGTCCTTTCCAACCTCAATAACTGATCACACTGTTAGGTGAGAAAAGCTAAACAGGAGGCAGTTATGCCAACCGAACCAAAGTCAGGCTAAGAGAGGCTCCTGGGAAAGTCTCTGAAAGTAGAATGAAGGAATATGTGTTTAAGTTACAGAGAGTGAGAAAAGAGGGGAGGCCTGCATTCCTGCATTTTTGTACCAGATGTGTTGGGAACAGTCCTTGAGATACAGAGGTGCGTTTTCCACTCCCTGCTCTTGTGTTTTGTCTGTTTTAACTCCTCGTCTCCTGGTTGACACCCATACCGATAAGAAAGTTACTGAAGCACTACGATTTGCTAAAAGTTATCTACAATAAGGGGGGTAGATGTGCATGCATATAGAGAAAGAGGATTTTAACTAATATGGGGGGGGCTGCTTTATGAATAAATCTGTGACGCGATGGGACTGTCTATAAAAACCTATGAGTTTTGCTTAGAGGCTGCTGGTTCTCTTTGAAGATGGGCTGCTCTCTATTGTTGTGTGCACTCTTCAATAAAGAGCTTTGAGTTCGGACCTTGCTGGTGTTGCCTGTCTCTCTCCGGTCAGACAACGAACCGTGCCGTCTGGGGTTCGAGTCCTTGACAATTTGGCGACTCCGCCGGGACCCGTCTGACTCTCCAGTGTAGGATCAGACTCTAAAAGCAACGCAGCGCGCATCCTCCGGCTTCAAGGAGCCTTGCCAATGATCTGATTCCTGCGTCGGCGATCAGGTGTGTTCTGTGAACCAGCTGAAGCCCGTAGAAATCTAGCAACATCCACCTACCCATTGAGTAGGCTCCAGATCCAGGTCTTCAGGGTTTGAGTCCCTGGAGAGGGTCTTCGGGGTTTGAGTCCCTGGAGAGGTAAGCGATTGCTTGATACTAAGAGTTGGGGATTGTGGGTTTGAGTCCCCTTTCCACCTAGGATGGGACAATTTGGCAGTAAATGCCCGGGGGACGCCCCGTTGTCTCTGATACTCAGAGATTGGAAGGGAATCACTGGAACTTCTGGGTTAACTAAATCAAAAATGAATAATTTATGTCAGGTTCAATGGCCAGCTTTCACCACCCATTTGTCCCCGACTAGATTCATAGATACTAAGGTCAGAAGGGACCATTATGATCATCTAGTCTGACCTCCTGCACAAGATTGGCGAGCCTGTGGAACTTTTTCCACAGACAGGATGGATTCCTTAAGAGATATTTTGGTCGATCTTAGACCGGGACAAATGGATTATTTGTTTGTATGGTATAATTATAAGCCAAAAGAAGGACGTATGGCTTTCAAAGCTGTTTGTATAGAAGAGTCAAGGACGTCCTCTTTCCTCCTCCTTTTCTCATTCATCTCAGGGGTCTCCAGCCCCGCTCTGTGCTATGCCTGCTTCTGCCCCTCCTCCGGCTTACCCTCGGCTTTCTGACCTATGCCCAGGACCAGTTGCAAGCCTTAAGACAGGACTTCCAGGCAGAAAAGGAAGCACTGGCTAAGCAAGTACCAGTCCTTCAGAGACTTGTCAAAATTTAACCATTTGTGCTCAGCATATGCCGTAACAACAGTGTGTCTGCCATAAGAGGAAATTAAATAGTTAAACCGCCAATTGGCCGTGTGTTCTGTCCAGGTGACAAGCCTCATGGGGGAGGACTCAGGTAGCCCTTGTGAGTGAGAATATTTAAGAGAAGAGACCAGGAGGGCTGGGGGCTAGTTAAGAAGCCCAGCCTCCTTGTGAAATTGGTAGTGGAACAAAGCTGGTGCTCATGGAAGGGACAGTTCAGAGAGAAAAACAGGATTGGGCCCAAGCGGGCTAGCAACAGATAGAGAGATTGGAAAACAGGTTGGAAACTTGGAGGGCATAGTGAAAGAAAAGGAGTAAATAATTACAGGAATGGGAAACTTAAATCCCGGAATAATACTTGGAATGGTAAAATCTGAGTTGATTAGGGTGTCGTTTTGGAAAATAAGCAAGTGATTTAAGGAAAGAAAGTGAGACTTTAACTCTGTAAAAAGAAAAGGAGTACTTGTGGCACCTTAGAGACTAACCAATTTATTTGAGCATAAGCTTTCGTGAGCTACAGCTCACTTCATCGGATGCATACTGTGGAAAGTACAGAAGACGTTTTTATACACACAAACCATGAAAAAATGGGTGATTATCACTACAAAAGGTTTTCTTCCCTCCCCCCCCCCCCCACTCTCCTGCTGGTAATAGCTTATGTAAAGTGATCACTCTCCTTACAATGTGTATGATAATCAAGGTGGGCCAGTGGCTTGTGTAAGGAGAGTGATCACTTTACATAAGCTATTACCAGCAGGAGAGTGGGGGGGGGGGGAGAGAAAACCTTTTGTAATGGTAAACACCCATTTTTTCATGATTTGTGTGTATAAAAACAAACATCTTCTGTATTTTCCACAGTATGCATCCGATGAAGTGAGCTGTAGCTCACGAAAGCTTATGCTCAAATAAATTGGTTAGTCTCTAAGGTGCCACAAGTACTCCTTTTCTTTTTGCAAATACAGACTAACAGGGCTGTTACTCTGAAACCTGTTAACTCTGTAATTGCTGGAGGGAATTATGCTAAAGAAAAAGAATTTTTGGTTTCTTTGCAGCCATTCTGAAGGGAAAATGGGCCTTTTTTTCAAAGAAATGTCTGTAAATAAATCCAGGCAAAGAGACTATGTGATTGAAATCATTTGGCTATGAAAAATTTAGTCAAATTAGCTAAAAGAACATAAGGGGTTTTATTGGAACTTAACCGCCCAAATGTATAAAGGAATGTAAATATATAATGCTATTTAATTAAGATCCTATTAGACTCCAAGGGGCTACAATAGTTGGTGTTTTCCTTTTTAGAGTTGTGTGTTGTGAAAACAGGAGTTAAAAGTAAAAGGCAATTAAAAGTCTGGTAAAGTTTATTGTGCCCTTTTAAAAGTAAACATCTTTAAGTTGTGGGTCCAAAAGCAAGCCGAAAAGCATTTGTTTTAATGTAAATTACCTAACTGATAAGGTAAAAGCCACTGAAACCTGGGCTGCCTATGAAACAAATACAAGAAAATATGGCAGGTTTCAGAGGAACAGCCGTGTTAGTCTGTATTCGCAAAAAGAAAAGGAGTACTTGTGGCACCTTAGAGACTAACCAATTTATTTGAGCATGAGCTTTCGTGAGCTACAGCTCACTTCATCAGATGTATACCGTGGAAACTGCAGCAGACTTTATATACACACAGACATACCGTGGAAACTGCAGCAGACTTTATATACACACAGAGAATATGAAACATTTCATATTCTCTGTGTGTATATAAAGTCTGCTGCAGTTTCCACGGTATACATCTGATGAAGTGAGCTGTAGCTCACGAAAGCTCATGCTCAAATAAATTGGTTAGTCTCTAAGGTGCCACAAGTACTCCTTTTCTTTTTAAGAAAATATGGGTAATTCCTCTGTTTTGCCTGCAATTAACAAGGGTATTTTTATAAAAAGGAAATATTTTAAGCAATGACTGACTGCCCAGAAGGGGTAGATCTATGTTCTTTTTGTCTTTCAGAAAATCAGAGAAAACTGATGCCAGATGAAAAGCAATTCAACATATCATGAATTTACTGGCATAATAGGAATTCTGTTCTGTGTTCTATGTCCTGTCTTGTGGTATTTGTCTTGTGGCCAGAATTGCTGTGTTTAATTTTTCATAGGACAGTTTAGTTTAAAACTAAATAGAAGGGTTAAATTAAAATGCAGATACTTGTTTTATTCAACTTGGAATACAAAGTGTTTGGATAATATCAGGAAAATGTAATATACTAAAGTTTAATACATTTGCTTAAGAAAGAAAAATAAATTTCATTGGCCAGATCTTTTAATTGAAAAAAAATTGTTAAAATTCACACACCAACAGTCTTTGGAAGCAAGGACATGAAAGGTTAACCCACTCCCCATATTATACATGGGATCCTTCTGGCTACCTCAAATTGCTAGCCAGAGGGCTGGGGAGGGAGGAAAGCTATTGGACACCAGAGGTTGTACCAAGTGGACTCCTCAAAAGTGGGTGTGCTTGTCCTGGCTTGTTGCTCCAAAGCTCCGTAATAAAGTCATTTTACTAGAAGGGTGTATCTGCCATACATTGAACAATAAGACTAGAGTGCTGTATAATGGGCAATGTATATGTGTTCATTTTTGAACAAAGGTGTGTGAGTGGAAAGTGAAAGTTTCCTTTGCAGGTTAATAAAAGCCAAGAAGGGGAGAAGAAAAAGAACGGAGGATGAGCTAATTCAACGCTGTAGCTGGGAGGCTCGGTCCAAAGATAAGATGCTGGCCTGCCCAAGGACACCACTCACAGCTAGGATTTGGCTGACAGCCAAGAAAGAAGGGAGCTTGAATGTGCCCAAGCAGCTGTGAGATCTGCAAAACACTGCCAGACATTAATGAAATGTGTTAGGTCTCTGTATTTACAGGTGAAAGAAGTCCTGCTCCAAGGATCCTGAGCAAACCTGCCATTTGTTAAAACCAGGTGACTGGGTCTACATAAAGGTCCATCAACGAAGACTACTCTGGCCCCATGCTGGAAAGGCCCTTATTAAGTCCTGCTAACTACCCACACTGCTGTGAAGTGCCAAGGACTGACTGCCTGGACCCATGCTTCTTACTGCAAAACGACCCCCCCACCTCAAGATGACTTCACTTCGACTACTGATCAGCCTGTCCCTCCTTCTGGGTTTTTGTCTTTCCTCCTTTTGGACAGCAGGGGAAAGGACAAGGTGAAGTGCCAGGCCCTACGCTACCAGCACTCCCAGCTACCTTCGAGACACCACTGACTTCCTGAGGAAACTACAATCCATCGGTGATCTTCCTGATAACACCATCCTGGCCACTATGGATGTAGAAGCCCTCTACACCAACATTCCACACAAAGATGGACTACAAGCCGTCAAGAACACTATCCCCGATAATGTCATGGCTAACCTGGTGGCTGAACTTTGTGACTTTGTCCTTACCCATAACTATTTTACATTTGGGGACAATGTATACCTTCAGATCAGCAGCACTGCCATGGGTACCCGCATGGCCCCACAGTATGCCAACATTTTTATGGCTGACTTAGAACAATGCTTCCTCAGCTCTTGTCCCCTAACGCCCCTACTCTACTTGCGCTATATTGATGACATCTTCATCATCTGGACCCATGGAACAGAAGCCCTTGAGGAATTCCACCATGATTTCAACAATTTCCATCCCACCATCAACTTCAGCCTGGTCCAGTCCATACAAGAGATCCACTTCCTGGACACTACAGTGCTAATAAACGATGGTCACATAAACACCACCCTATACCAGAAACCTACTGACCGCTATTCCTACCTACATGCCTCCAGCTTTCACCCTGACCACACTACACGATCCATCGTCTACAGCCAAGCTCTGCGATATAACCGCATTTGCTCCAACCCCTCAGACAGAGACAAACACCTACAAGATCTCTATCAAGCATTCTTACAACTACAATACCCACCTGCGGAAGTGAAGAAACAGATTGATAGAGCCAGAAGAGTTCCCAGAAGTCACCTAAAACAGGACAGGCCTAACAAAGAAAATAACAGAACGCCACTAGCTGTCACCTTCAGCCCCCAACTAAAACCCCTCCAACGTATTATTAGGGATCTACAACCTACCCTGAAGGATGACCCAACACTCTCACAAATCTTGGGAGACAGGCCAGTCCTTGCCTACAGACAGCCCCCCAACCTGAAGCAAATACTCACCAGCAACCACATACCACACAACAGAACCACTAACCCAGGAACCTATCCTTGCAACAAAGCCTGTTGCCAACTGTGCCCACGTATCTATTCAGGGGACACCATCGCAGGGCCTAATAACATCAGCCACACTATCAGAGGCTCGTTCACCTGCACATCCACCAATGTGATATATGCCATCATGTGCCAGCAATGCCCCTCTGCCATGTACATTGGTCAAATTGGACAGTCTCTACGTAAAAGAATAAATGGACACAAATCAGATGTCAAGAATTATAACATTCATAAACCAGTCGGAGAACACTTCAATCTCTCTGGTCACGCGATTACAGACATGAAAGTTGCTATATTACAACAAAAAAACTTCAAATCCAGACTCCAGCGAGAAACTGTTGAATTGGAATTCATTTGCAAATTGGATACAATTAACTTGGGCTTGAATAGAGACTGGGAGTGGCTAAGTCATTATGCAAGGTAATTTCCCCTTGTTTTTTCCTATTCCCCCCCCCCCCCCCCCAGACATTCTTGTTAAACCCTGGATTTGTGCTGGAAATGGCCCACCTTGATTATCATACACATTGCAAAGAGAGTGATCACTTTAGATAAGCTATTACCAGCAGGAGAGTGGGGTGGGAGGAGGTATTTTTTCATGCTTTGTGTGTATATAAAAAGATCTTCTACACTTTCCACAGTATGCATCCGATGAAGTGAGCTGTAGCTCACGAAAGCTTATGCTCAAATAAATTGGTTAGTCTCTAAGGTGCCACAAGTACTCCTTTTCTTTTAACCTCTCCCTTGTCCACTGACAGAGCTAACCTGTATTGCACTGCTAGGGAACCTGACCTGGAAAAAGGTTCCCCAGAAGCAGACAGCGTCGGACTTTGAGGGAGCTACGCACTTTCACCCCACTGTAAACCAGGTGAATCAGAAGCAGACGACATCTGTGCTCAAGACAAATGGACTGCCACCCCTTTGGGCGACCTGAAGCTCTGGCTGCAGCTAAAAAAACCTTGAATTGGTGGTGTCCTCTCAGGGAAGGATGGCCCCGTTCTCTAAGCTGGGTTCTTGTATTGTTGATCTGTAGGGGGGGTTGGGACTATAGAATCACACAGTTCTAACACATTTATATGTCTTGCCCATGAAATGAAATCTCGTATGCCAGACTTACAAAACACTTCATGCTGGGTGTGCTCATTAATACCAGCACATAGCCAAAAAGTTCTTCCCATGGTTCCTATTCCCCTTAGTGCAATGAATATGACCTGGACTCCGTCCTGAAAGAATTCTTCAGGCAATTGAAATATTACCTGGGCTGATACCGGCATCTCTGAAAGCAGGTATCTAATAGTTTGGAAACGAGTTGGTCAATGGTGCCTCTTAAGAGAAGGGAAAATAGCTTTGGGTAATAGTGAGTGCACAGCCTACTTTAATGGCACTCATTTTGGGAGTAAAAGAGGTCCTAATATCTCTCTCCTGGATGGGGCAACCTCTTGCACCTCCGCATGGTATAGATTCACGGGTAACAAGTGCAGTCTGCATGGGGAAAAACATTTTTTGTATAAAGATCATAAGTTGATTGAGCATTACGTTATAAATTGAATGCTTGGGTATAACCTGCCAACTCATACTTTGTGTTTATGTTCCTCTAACGCCTCCGCGGCTAAATTCTCCCTCCTCCCATCTTGGACCGGATGGTACGAACGTATTAATAATACCTGGTCCAAAGTCACTCCTACCCTTTTTGGAGTATACTGGGTGTGTGGTAACAAGGCATACTTAGCCCTCCCTCCTTCATGGAGTGGATCCTGCTACTTGGCTTGGTTAGAACCACCTGTAGTATATCGCACACGTCACCCTAAAGGGAAAATCAGAAATGTAAGAGGGGCTGAGGAAGATGCAAATGACTCTCGCCCCCTTACTTGGTGTGCCCTCAATGACTGGACGGGTGCTTGTGCAGGATTTGTCTTCGCCTGTGGAGGTGCCACTTGAGTATTGGGGAAGGAGTCATGAGACTTCAGGGAGTGTTGGAGATGATGGCAAATACTACTACCGATGCCTTGGTAGACTTGGCAACCGAACAAAAAAACCTAAGGCAGATGGTTCTTCAAAACCACTTGGCATTAGATATTTTGCTGGCCTCTCAAGGAGGAACATGTGCATTAATTGGGCAAGAATGCTGTGTATATGTTCCGGATGTTTAAACGCCACCTGGGAAAGAGCAAACCACCTTATGCAAGTTGCAAAAGACCATGGAGGAGAGCAAGTCAACTCATGGTGGGGCAATTTGTTCAGTTGGGTTCCAGATATAGGTGGCTGGTTACATAACTTGCTTCGCAGTGCCGTTGTAATTGTTTGTGGCCTAATAGTTTTGTATGTTATGTTAAGATGTGGCTGTTGGCTAGGTACCAAGCTGTGCCCTACCAACCAGTGATTGGTACCCAGTCACTACCTACAGAGGCCAGTATGTCCCAAGAGTTCCCCTATGGCACTCTGGGGACAAAGGGGGGATTGTTAGGTGTGAAAAGCTAAACAGGAGGCAGTTATGCCAACCGAACCAAAGTCAGGCTAAGAGAGGCTCCTGGGAAAGTCTCTGAAAGTAGAATGAAGGAATATGTGTTTAAGTTACAGAGAGTGAGAAAAACGGGGAGACCTGCATTCCTGCATTTTTGTACCAGATGTGCTGGGAACAGTCCTTGAGATAAAGAGGCGCTGTTTTCCACTCCCTGCTCTTGTGTTATGTCTGTTTTAACTCCTCGTCTCCTGGTTGACACCCATACCGATAAGAAAGTTACTGAAGCACTACGATTTGCTAAAAGTTATCTACAATAAGGTGGGTAGATGTGCATGCATATAGAGAAAGAGGATTTTAACTAATATGGGGGGGGCTGCTTTATGAATAAATCTGTGACGCGATGGGACTGTCTATAAAAACCTATGAGTTTTACTTAGAGGCTGGCTGGTTCTCTTTGGAGACGGGCCGCTCTCTATTGTTGTGTGCACTCTTCAATAAAGAGCTTTGAGTTCGGACCTTGCTGGTGTTGCCTGTCTCTCTCCGGTCAGACAACGAACCGTGCCGTCTGGGGTTCGAGTCCTCGACAACACCCACTCCACACCCTGCTTTATCAGATGTTATATTTACAGTCTGTAGCCAGCTTCCCAGCCCAACTGGCGTCTGGGGAACGCTGCAGCAGGCCCTGCCTGCAGCTGCTCTCCTTCTGACTCCCTACTCTTCCCTCGCCCCCCAGCACTTCCTTCCTGTTTGCTTACACAATCCTAGCGACTGGGGATAACCCCCCACTCACTGTATCTCCCCTCCATTAACTGGCCTCCTCTGCCAACTGTCTGACCAATGCGGTCCCAGTGAATCGGTACTGGTGGAGAGGGTGCTGAGTTAGCCCAACAGGAGACAATGTCAGACCATGTTGTTACTAAAATACAGTGGCTTCTAGAATTGGATTAGGGAACCCCAGCTGGCTATGCCTGGCTTACACTTGACCCACTTCACCATCCAGTTGACCGATGTTCCCACCCTTACCCTAAAGCTTCCCAGTAGTGTGCTGGCACAGCTGCAGATTCCTGGAGCAAGACTAGAGCGCTGACTAGAGAAGTGTTGCCTAGCGAATAGAGGACCAGACTCAGGAGGCTGGAGTTCTCATCCTGGATCTGCTGCTCTGTGACCTTGGGTGAGTCTGATCCCATCTGCTTGCCTCAGTTTCTCCAGCTATGCAATGGCGATCATGAGACTGAGCTGCCTTGTGAAATGCTTTGAGATCTACCAATGATGAGAGCTAGGAGTTATTATTTGCAGTGTGTTGCTGTAGCCATGTCAGTCCCAGGGTATGAGAGAGACAAGGCGGGTGAGGTAATATAATTTTATTGGACCAACTTCTGTAGGTGAGAGAGACAAGCTTTCAAGCTTACACAGAACTTGTCTTCAAGTCCAGGAAAGGTTCTCAGTTTCAGCTTGTCTCCTTCACCTACAGAAGATGTTCCAACAAAAGGGATTACTGCATCAGTTTAAATTCACCCACAGGTTATACCAGAAAACACTTTCCCATGTAGAGCAGGCCTGAATGGGAGCTGAACCATTTGGAAAATGAGACGCGTGGAGCCTGGCTTTCAAGTGCTCAGCACCCTTGAGGCTGGATGCTCCATGAAGTCAACTAGGCATTTTGCTGATGCTAGCGATTTTTACATGGGAGATGCTCAGATGTTACAGTGGTGAGTGGCAGGAAATGATGCTAAGGTAGGGAGGTAAACAAATATGTGTGGGGATGGGGGGATGGATGGAGGGGTGCGTGTGCAGAGGGATGTCTGAATGGATGTCTGGTGGATAGATATGTGTGGGAGTGAATGGCAGATAGGTAGATAGATATGCGTGGGGATTGAGGGGGTGGAGATAAGAGAGTGGATGAAGCAGAATGGGGATGGATAGAGGGAGGAGGTGGGGATAGGGGGTGGGCAGAGGAGGGGATGGGAATTGGGGATGGATGGACAGGGTGGGGGTGGATAGGGAAGGGGGTGGACAGAGACTTCGAGATGGATGGTCTAGATTGCTCTGCACTCAGCATTCTGGGCCACTGTGCAAATTTGGCCCCTCAGCGGACGCTGAGTCCTTTGGAACATTCCAGCCGGGCTGTTGGGGGCGGCAGCACGAACATAAAAATGGCCACACTGGGTCAGACCAATGGTCTGTCTAGCTCAGTATCCTGTTTTCTGACAGTGGCCAGTGCCAGGTGCTTCAGAGGAAATGAACAGAACACGGCAATTATCCAGTGACCCATCCCTGTTGTCCAGTCCTGGCTTCTGGCCATCAGAGCTTTAGGGACACCCAGAGCAATGGGTTGTACCCTGTCCATCTTGGCTAATAGCTATTGATGGACCTATCCTCCATGAGCCTATCTAATTCTTTTGTGAACCCCGTTATAGTTTTGGCCTTCAAAACATCGCCTGGCAATGAGTTCCACAGGTTGACTGTGCATTATGTGAAGAAGTATTTCCTTTTGTTTGTTTTAAACCTGCTGCCTATTAATTTCATTGGGTGACCCCTGGTTCTTGTGTTATGTGAAGGAGTAAATAACACTTCCTTATTCACTTTCTTCACACCCGTCATGATTTTATAGACCTCCATCATATACCCCCTTATTCATCTCTTTTCCAAGCTGAAAAGTCCCAGTCTTATTAATCTCTCCTTATAAACATGCTGTTCCATACCCCTAATAATTTTTGCTGCCCTTCTCTGTACCTTTTCCAATTCTAATATATCTTTTTTGAGATGGGGCAACCACATCAGTATTCACGATGTGAGCATACCATGGATTTATATAGTGGCATTATGATATTTTGTGAGCTTTTTTTACTGTTACTGCAGATTGAATGGATGTTTTCAGAGAACTATCCACAATGACTCCAAGATCTCATTCTTGTGTGGTAACGGCTAATTTAGACCCCATCATTTTGTAGGTATAGTTGGGATTTTCCAATGTGCATTGCTTTCCATTTATCAACATTGAATTTCATCGGCCATTTTGTTGCTCAGTCACCCAGTTTTATGAGATCCCTTTGTAACTCTTTGCAGTCTGCTTTGGACTTAGCTGTCCTGACACTAATTTTGTATCATCTGGAAACTTTGCCACCTCACTATTTACCCCTTTTCCCAGACCGTGGATGAATATGTTGAACAGCACTGGTCCCCCAGTACAGATCCCTGGGGGACTCCACTATTTACCTCTCTCCCCTGTGAAAAATGAACATTTATTCTTACCCTTTGCTTCCTGTTTTTTAACCGGTTACTGATCCATAAGGGGACCTTCCCTCTTATCTCTGACTGTTTATAATAGCAAACAACACTTCTGATTGCTCTCCTCCCTTCCTCAGAGGAGAGTTTACACAGGCTAGGGAGAGAGGCGGACAGGGAGGGGTGCAGGAGCAGAGGGACGCCAGGCCAGGGACCCTGGGGCCATGGCACAGTGGAGAGGGAAGGGGGGGTTGGGGTGGAGAGAGAGATGAGTGCCTTTGTCTGGGATTGCTCCACTTAACTGCTTTAGCATCCAAATGGGCTGTGCCCTTAGCATTTCTCTCAGCTGGATGGGCCCCATTGTTCCCTATAGGTCTGGGATGACCCAACCCCACCCCAGTAGTCAATGGGAGTCTGGGAATCAATGGGGAAACTCCCATTGACTTTAAGGAGCTTTGGATGCACTGCACCTTGAGTTGGAAGCCAGGGGAGTCTGGGCCCCAGGGCCTGCGGTTTTCACATATAACAGGAGTCACATGCTTCATAGCTCCTGCAGGCCGAGCTCCTTGTAGACCCAGTGGCTTCTTGCATCCCTCCATCCTCTCCCCCCGCCCCCCCAGCTCCCTGGATTTCAGGGACGCTCTGCATCCCACCTACCCCTTGCCAGTAGCCCTGTGTGCCCCCCATTCCCACCTTTCCCTCACCACCTCTGGGCTCTACATGCCCCCTCATTCCCCCCATACCAGGGTCCCCCATTCTCCCTCAATGGCAGGGGCTGTGTGTACCCCCTAATTCCCCATACCAGCATCCCCCATTGTCCCCACCTACCAGGGGCTCTGTGTGTCCCCCATTTCCCTTATCTGCAGCAGTCTTTCCCATTCTCCTCCCATGGCAGGGGTTGTGTTTGCCCCCTTATTCCCCTCTTCTCCCATTCCAGCGTCCCTCCCATTCGCCCCACCCTCCAATGGCTATGTATGCCCCCCATTTCCCTTGTCTCCCCTACCAGGGTCGCCCATTCTTCTCCCATGGCAGTAGCTGTGTGTGCCTCTCATTCCCCCATTACTAGGGTCCCCCATTTCTACCTTCCATGCCAGAACATTAAAAACAAAGCACAAGGCCCCTAATCCTGGAGAAATATGCTTAATTTTACTATTCTCTCTGTGTATGTGTGTGTGAGAGAGATTAAATTAAGCATGTGCATAAGTGACCCTCACCCTGGATGTTTTTCTGAAAGCTCCAGCACCTGGTGTCCTGGGATTAGGTCAGACTCAATTTGAATTTTTTAGAAAGCAATTTTTTTACCCTTAGAGTTGCTGAGGAAGGCTTAAGAACGTGACCCAAAGTGCCCACTAGGGGCTCAAACCAGGAGGCAAATAATATGAGCCCCAAACTGATTTTTTTTTTTAAAATCATGAGTTTAAGTCCCGTGACTTCTTTGAGGCCTGACTCCTGATTTTTCAATGTTTGGCATTTGTGACACTACTGGTGTTAGCAGGTGGGACGCCTTTGTTTGGATTTAACCATCCCCTACAGTATTAAGAGCCTGGATGCTGGCAGTATGTCTACACTGCGATAAAAAAACCTGAGTCCAAGTCAGCTGATTCAGGCTTGCATCTGCGGCTTCAGGGCTATAAAATTGCAATGTAAACGTTCAGAGTGAGGAGCCCTACCCGAGACCAACCCCACTGTCTACAATTACACAGCAATTTTATAGCCTTGCAGGCCGAGTCAGCTGACCTGGGCCCATTCTGTGTCTTTTATTGCCGTGTAGATGTACCCTGGGAGTCAGGGAGTGAAATGGGTTAAACTGACTCATCTTTTTGCATTGTACAGAAATTAAAGGGCAGAAATGAGGTGTGTGTGGTGGTGGATCACCAAGATTTTAAAAAGCCCCATTAGCTTTAATTATTGCAAGGGAACCCAGGGACAGAGTTTTATTTTGAAAAATATGATTGCTCCTAGATTTCAAGGCCAGAGGGGACCATTCTGATCATCTAGTCTGACTTCCAGTATAGCACATCAGTGGTGCCTGCATCCAGCACATGCTTTCTGGCTATGCTAGAGCAGACCTGTTAGAAAGAGACACCTGGGTCAACGGACAGGGACGCTCACCCCCTTGTGAGATGTTTCTGTGGTTAATGACACTCACTGTTAAAAACCCAAGCATTATTCCTTGTCTCAGTTTATCTAGCTTTCTCTTCCAGCTGTTGGATCTTGTTAAACTTTTGTGGGCCAGACTGAAGAGCCAGAAATC